ACGAGTCATAACTTCTTCGTTATAACTCGGATTTCGGCGTTCTTTATATGTACGGACACCTTGTGACATATACTACAACTTGGTTCAAATTATTTATTCTAAATAATATTTTGTCGAAAAGTCATTTTCGACCCCTATTATCTCTAAATTGACTAGCCCGGATCTACGGGCGTTACATACAATATAGGTACATGCTATTTTTTTTACCAACATGCCCTCATATGAAGTCGTTCTTAAGATATTCGTGAGATAAAGATGAACCATCCGAACCAATTAACCACATCTGAGACTTCCACAACAATGGCATGAATATGGTTCATCATCCGTATCTTGAGAACTTGGTTTTAGTGCGGGGTAAAATCTACCATGAACATGTCTTTATGAAGATTCCATTTTTTGGTATCTTTTCATCATAGTCATCTTGTCCTTCATGCATTAGAATAACTCACCACCTTAAACGAATAATCATCAAGGCCGTTAACATTAGATTGAGATAATATGTTTTTAGAACTATCCATATCTTTGAACATAGGTGTCCATTTTTCTCTATCTTGTAACACATACGACTTTTCATTTACTATTGCTTTCACCCTCCAATAACTTTTATTCACCGTACCACATATGAGTTTCCATATACTATTAAAACTCACAACTTTTCGAATATAATTTTTATGTCGTTGATTTAATGAAGATGTAGTTGTCATATAGGTTTTTAGCAAGTTCAAATAGGTTTTCTCCATGCCTTCACTAAAACCCTTTTAATGTCTATCCAAATAAATATTTATGTAATGTAGAAGTCATGGGACCATGGCCTTATCTCCAAACACCACAAACATGTACCTATATTAAAGCATGAACATGTGTTACGAAATTCAAGCATTACCTACAAGGCTCCAAGATATCGCAACTTCACATCAAGAAACCCATCATTAACACCCATTATTTCTAGGTTTGGTAACATTAAAAAAATCTTTAACATTACTTTCAAAAACTGCATGCACGGTCTTTATTGTCAACCACATAATCACTCAAATCCAATTTAATGGAAAAGTCTTTCGAGGTGATTCAATAGTGTTCTAGGGAGCATTGTCATTTCTCTAGTCTAAGAACTTTATTTTATGATAGGTGCATTAGTTCACCCGTTTAACATTTTTGGAAACATGTTTAATGTTTTTTCAGGATTAACACGTGAAACATGTTCATTACTATCAAATTTAGTCATTGGGGCGTAGATTTATGGCTACTAATCCAAATATTACATAAATTACGCACAAGTTTTGTAACACACGTGTTCTAAGAAGCTTGGACAATACTTAAGAAATCAAAATAAGGTTTTGGAGGAAATGCTTAGCCACGACGTGGCACCAGGGGCCACGTTGTGGCAGCTGTTGCAGCTCTAATCCAGGATTTTAAGGGTTTCCCTCATATATGAACGCCTTAACTCCCTCTCTAGGTTATCTCCTTCAGCCTCCACCTCCCCATCTCAAAACCCTAGACTCTTTTCCATGAATTTGATCTTTGTGACTTGATTTTGTGGTTGTTCCCTTGATTTGGTGAAGTTTGTGAAGGAAGAAAATCCATCTTGGTGCAAAGGGATCAAGGAGAGAACTTAGATCCACTATCTTCTCCAGATTTCTGAGTGTTTGAAGTTATAAAGTTCTCGTCTTGAATTATGTTCCTCTTGATGCAAGTTTAGGTGCTTTTTGATATGATTTTGGTCCTTTCCTTGGATGCCTTGGACTTGAAGAACTCCATGACTTGTGATGGAATTTCTAGTTCATTATACTTCTGTTGATTGAGAAAAAGGACCATGATTGGTGTATTTTCTATCCATGTGCAAGTTGCAACTTCATTTAGGACCTATTGGACATTAAATGCTAGATCTAGCCTTGAAATGTTATCCAAATGGATAAAGTTGGAAATTTATCCATTCAGCTAACGTGGGAGAATGGATCTGAATGTATGAGCCTAGATATGAAAGGATTAAGCTCTTAACGACATGGAGAAGTCAAAAATCATAACTGTCTTGTTTTGGCGTGACCACGACATGGCCGAGGAGGGCCACGACATGGCGTTGACTTTGACCAAGTTTGACCATCGACTTTTTGACCAATATGACTTCGGGTCAAACATGAATGATTGGGTTGTTAATTAAGACTATTAAATGTTTTGGTGATAAAGGGCTCGTGGGAGCATGCAATGCAGAAAGGAAACATGTTGTAGTGTTTTTGGAACCTTCGTTTCAGGTGAGGTTTCCTCATTATACTTATGGGTCGAGTTCATCAATATCGGCCCACTGGATTATGTATCTTGGTATATTGAATTGATGTTGTGTTGGTTATGTATTAGATTAGTAAATATGTATGATTACCTGTGTTCACTGAGTATGCGTTAGATTGGTAGATTTGTATGATTACATGTACTTGTTAGTTATTGATTGTTATTGTATATGTTGGCATATTATGGTTTGTTGGGTTGAGTCAGTTATGCTTTGTGTTGAACGTCAAAATATAGGGTAGTCCAGATAGAATGTAGGTCCTACAAGGTGGTCCAGTAAGGTCGAAGGCCTAGAGAGTGGTCTAGATAGGTTGTAGTCCCCACGAGGCGATCCAATCAGACCAAAGGCTCGGAGAGCGGTCCAGATAGGTTGTAGGCCCTACGAGGTAGTCCTTTCATGTTGAAGACTCATGTATGCATGTTGTTATCTGTATAGTTGTGTGTGGTACTTTAGGGCATCCTACTAAGCTTTGTCTTACAGTTTAAGTGCTATATTTCAGGTACCTCAGATGATTGAGGTAAGACGAAGGCTTGATCGTACACATCCTTCAGATTTTATGAGATTTGATTTGGGATACTCTGGTATGTGATTTTGTCTTTTGGAAATTATGTTTTGTAAACATTTATGGTTTTTGGGTTAGTTTTGAAAAATAAAAATTTTACCTGGATTTTTGGGATGTTAAAAATTCATTAACTTTAGGGATCCTAATAAACGTCACAAAACCAAACCTTAAACTCTAAACCCATACCTGGCTGTGGAGTTTGACTCTGCCGATCAAACACGTTTGGGTACCCTATCCGATCAAAGACATTCTCTTACTAATATTTTTTCATTTACGTGGATTAAGTTGATTCCCCCTCCTTTATCTACAATGCCAAGGAATTTGTAATCAAAAGGGATGGAAAAATCATCATAGTCGAAGAGAAACCATAAACTCACACTTTGTTTGACCAAAGAATCCCCAAGTTGAACTGGGATGAGGACAACAGTAGAGAATCCCAAAATAAAAAATAGGGATGGGGATAACGATACCCTAATCTCTGATCATAAATCCGGTCCCGATAGATATTAATATATAAAAATAAAACAAACATATATTTATAATAAAATTTATAATACTACAAATTTTATCAAAACTAAGAATCTTTGATTTCTCCACCGCCGCTAACTTTTCGTGCATTTTGTTGGATGAAATTAACTTTAGACCTCTTCTTTAATTTGTTTCTATAATCTTCAAAGCCTATTTTGTGCAAATCAAGCATACTTTCTTCTTAGCATTAACTCACTCAAAATAAATCTCAAAACTCTAAATGGTCTTGAGATATACTAGTAGAAGATAATTTAAAGAAGAGAAAATTGTTAATTTATTATTAAATTTAAAATATAATAAACCCTAAAATAATAATAATCAACAAGGATATATCTAATTAATAAGATAAATCCTAAAGAATAATAATTAACAACGATATAGAAGATAATTTAAAGATAGGAAAATTAATCCTAAACTAACAACTATATACTCTAATTAGTAAGATAAACCCTAAAGTAACAATAATTAACCTATTGAATTATGTGGTTAAAATACGATTTATGAAATAGAGAAACCAATAATTCATTAAGATTAAGTAAATAATAATCTAATTAATTAGATTTAAACAGAATAAATAGAATAAAAAACAAATAAGCAATGGTTTGTTAAATTGTTTTTTTCACATTGGTTCACTGCATATTTTCTTGTCCAATGATATCTTTCATATGAATAATATTTCATCATTTTCAAAATTATTGTTTGCATATACAAAAACATATAAATTAAGAAAACATTAATCACCACCAAATTTATTAATGAAATGACAATCGTACAATTTTATTGCACTTAATTACATCTTTTTGTTGCATTAAATTACATAATATGTTAACTAATAGTGAGATATATTTTGGTAAAAATGACATTTATTTTTAAAAATATGCTATTATTTTGAGACAAGCCAAAAATAAAACATAAACTGTTAATATGAGACGGAGGGAATATAAGATGCTTCTTATCGTTAATATTTTCTCAAAAGAAAAAAGGAATATTAAACACTACTAGAAAAACAGTCTTTTACGACGCTCATTGCGCGTCGTAAAAGGCTCAGACGACGCGCAAATGCGTGTCAAAGAAGGCCCTGTCATAAAGAGAGACGACGAGCATTTACGACGCGCGTTTACGACACACAATGCGTATCAAGGAAGGCCCTGTCATATAGGCAGATTACACGCATTTGCGTGTCGTAACCTTACGACGCGCATGTTAATACACACAATGCGTATCAAGAAAGCTCATGTCAAGAAAGCTCATGTCACAAATGAAGACGACACACATTTTTGTGTATCATAATTTTAAATGTTTAAAAAAAATATTATTTATAGATTTACTTATTTTCAAATTAAATTTGTATTTAATTTTTCATAATAGAAAAGAAAATATCATATACAAAAAATAAAATCCGTTGCATAAATTTAATGTCATACAAATAATTGTTCCATGGAAATATAAAACAAATCAATAGAAGTTGTAACAAAAATTTACAAACGAATTAGATACAAAAAATACAATCCATTGCTCCTTTGCTTATTCAAGATCAACCTGCAAGTAGCTAACTAATATGTACAAATTCACCCTTGTTTCTAATCATTTTCTTAAATACTTTACAAACATAATTTATCCATAGTACCTGAATTATAGTTGCAGCCTTGTTTCTTTTTCTTCTGAACTCATCTCTTGCAACCATTTCTCTAAGCCTAACGTATACACAATTACACATTGCATGAAAGGACTGGATTTAATAATATTCATATTTATACCATCCAGTTGTCGATTGGTTCCCATGGCTACAGAAACTCTTCTTCTAGGCTCAACTGCTTCATCAATCACCACATTCTGCAGTGAATCAAATCAAATATTAAATATAATAATATACAATGATAATGATTGAAAACACTTAAAAGCCTTCATTCAAAAATCAAAACCTAACGGTCTATTCATGTTAAGGATCTTGCAACTTGTCTAATGTCTATTCAATTACAAGTAAGTACAAGATGATAATTTCATTTTTAGTCCTATCTTCTTTTAATTTATCAAGTACTTAATAAATTATATATATATATATATATATATATATATATATATAACTTTATATTCTTAGAACAACATCTGTACACATTTCATGCTTAGACCCTTTTAATTGTCCCACAAAACAGAAAAAATGTCACTTGATCAGAAAACTACATTAAAGATGGTCAGTTGGTCGCATCACAATTTGTAAAAGTTATCCTAATTCACACTTATATATATATATATATATATATATATATATATATATATATATATATTATGACATTTCAAGCTACCTTTAGAGATGGATTGGAGGGATAATAAAATTGGGCACAAGGCATCTACTCCTTTCATTATTTAATATTTAGTTATATGCACAAGGTTAATTAGGGTCTCTAGTAGTCTAAATCAGCCTCTAAATGGCTTGACTATTATTAGGCATGGGTAAACTCTACACTGCATCACTAGGTAGGTTATTATGTTTACAACTAAGATACACTGATAATAATAATATGATCAATTTAATTATCTATCATTGACATCAGATGCATGTAATACAAGTAGTATAACATGCAGATAGATATTGATACCTTACTAAGCCCTACATAGTGGTGACAGAAATTGGAGGTTGTAGTGCGAGTGTGACACCTATCAGGTGATGAGTTAAGATTTAGTAATTACAATGACAATGAATGATTATAGCAGGATAACATTTTTTTGTTATTCGTTAGAAAGAACAGCTTCTTTTCTTTAACTAACTAACTAAGGGGGTTTGTGATTATTTTCCTGGAGACTCAGTGACATGAATTCCAAATGTTGAGGTTGGTTTTCCCTTAAATGCATATGACCATGAAGGATACTGAATCCCATGTGTATGTGTAAGTGAAAACAGGATCACTACTGTCAAGCCTTTTCACAAGAGCACAAGTCAGAATGCACATCATTTCAGTTTTTTCAACAAAAAATAAAAATAAAATAGAAAATGGCACGGGTATGAGTTTGACTCTTATTTTGAGTGTTAAAGGGGGGGGGGGGTCTTGTCTTAGTGTTCATTCCGCAAACAAGCCTTGTACTTTATTGTAAACTCTTTCTCCCTCAACAATTACTTTGTGGCTTTGGTCTTTATTTTCTGTGCTCTAAGTTAAATCTAAATTCTACAAGCGTTTTGACATTCATGAACATAAATAATGCATTTAAAATGATATGTTTATGTTTATATGTAAGAGGGAGAAGACAACCTTCTCTGTATGGAGCCCATTCATGCTTTCGAAGATGATGTGGGGCATCATGCGGTGGCAGCAGACCCTACAAAAGGTCAATAATAATAATAATAATAATAACTACTGCTGCTGTACACAATATTGCATGCATGCACTTTGAAAATGTACCACAAATCTTAAGCTGTTATGCTTGGGGAAAAGAGCCTTTCTCAGATATTGTGGCATCTCCCAGATACTTCAAGATCCTTATTAGGAAAGCAGTACCACTCTCATTTTCATCACAAGTATCCTCAGCTGTCACATTCGATTATTCCCTTTGGTTATCAAATACAACCACCTATAAACACAAGCCCAAATACGCACCGGTAAATCATTCACAACTTTCTACATATCTTTAATGATGATTAAACAAACATAAATGATAAATGTTTTCCATCCATCTAGAATTCAATTTTCTGTGTGGTCTATATATATATATATATATGTATATGTATATATATATTTTAAAATAGGGGGGGGGGGAGGAAGGAAGGTAATAGTAGACTTCACAGAGTTCATGCACCACATTTTTTATCCACAAAGTAAAGCTTGAAAAGGTTTTGGAAAACCTCACCAAGAAATCCACTATTGGATCAAACAGAGGTTCAAAGAAAGGTGCAAAGTCGGAACCTATGGCCTTGGAAAAAGCAGGAAGAAGATCTGTAACAGCATCCATGAGCATTTCACTGTGTCCATGAATGGCTAAAACGATAAACAGAACGTACGTTGTGCTTTTATGTAATTTAGGAAAAAATATTTGTTTAAACGACAAAAAGAAAGTAAAATGGTTTAATTAGTAAGTGATGGATTTCTCCTAAAAGACCAAAATACCCTTGTTTTGCTACAAAAGAGACATAACTAATAAGTGATGGATTTCTACTAAAAGATCAAAATACCCTGATTATTAGAAATAATACAAAATTACCAAATCAGCTAGAGCTTCAAATTCTCTTTTAACCCTACTATCTGGAGCTTTTCCAAGAACAATCATTTGTCCACCCTTCAAAAAAGGAGGAACCACAAGAAATTAGAAACCCTAATTCATACAACTTTTACCAGATCATCAGAATGTTTCTTTTCTTTTTCTTTCATTAAATGCTAAAAATAACATTTCAAGCAACTTACAGTTTTTTGAATATGATTGATGGCATGTCTAATTAGATGAAGACCTTTTTGAGCAACTAAATGAGAAACGCAAACAACTAAAGGCACTCTTTCACACCCTTCTAGAATCAAACCTAATCCCCTTTGGAGATACTGCTTGCATACTTTCTTTCCACCAGTGTTTTGAGCTAAAAAATAATCTCAAAAAAAAAAAACTTGGTAAATGAAGTTTCATTAAATTTGTGGAAAAAAATGTTTTACATAAGCTTCAAAACAGGTCAGTTTATGGAGTTTTTTTCTATATTTTATATAAATTATAAAGTAGGAGACTCATAATCCTTACCCTTATAAGTCATTTTCCCTGCAAAGATGTATGCAGGGGGACTTTACTCATATCATGTGGTTAAATTTTAAAGGAATTAAGATCTAATTTTGAAGTTTAATCATATAAAATGAATAAAATGTCTACAAATTTCTACCTTGATAACAGTCAAATGGTATGTTGATTCAGATTCCCATAAGAGTGGACTAAAAAGTCTTCATGAAACTTCAGAAGGGAGTTTCCTTGGTACACTGAAAGAGACAGCTGTCCACACTATAACCATCAATTGGACTCCATAGTCTGCTATGAAACTTCTGAGTTGCCCTAGTTTCACATAACAGTAGTTACATATTAAGATGATAAGAATCTACATCATATTTGATAAAAGAAACTTTTGATAATAATTTACATGCCTAGACCATGACCAAGTTCTGTTTGTGCATAAAAAACCAATAATTTGCATCTTTTGGGCCAATGGCAACCATTTCTGTTTTTGTTCCTTAGTGCCTTGTCCTTCTATGGCTGGGATGAACATTCCCTAACAAATCATAGAGCACAATCAACTTCCATGCATATGCAACTTTTTAAAGCATGTTCTTGAGCAGCTCTTTCCTACCAAGCAATCCTTGCACATTGAGTGCCCTTTCCAACACCAGGGAATCCTATCATATATACATATTATATTATTAAACAAACAAAAACATCTAAACTTTAAACTTTCTTCATACATGTAATGTGTTTTTAATTACCTTATACAAAGTTAATGCTTGGAGTCCTTGCTTTTGACAGGATTCCACCTTCTGCCTACAGATCAAAATATAAATAATTTTTTAAACTTTAACTTGAATTATATAAAATACCTTTAACGATCTAACTGTACATAGTGACATACCAGTTTCAGGAATGTTGTTGTGTTGAATGCTTCAAGAAAACTCAATCCATATGTCACTTTTGTCAATAAGAAAGATAATATAACCAATTTATGTAAATGAACTATTATCTAAATTCCCAACTTAGAAACAAATTGCTACAAAATGGAACCCTAGTTTTCGAAAGGCTAGCTCTCTGCATGAGCCTCCACTCTAACAGAAATAGATCCCAGACTAAAGGGAAAAGACCTAAGCACCCTTAAACCTTGCATTGACCTTTTTGCCCTCGTTTAATCAGCCTTAACCAGTTGATATTTCCTCACTTTGTATATCTGAGGCTCACAACTCACCATAATGTATCCATTTATGCTGGAGTGGTAAGTGACAAGATTCAGAATCAATAACTTGCATAAAAAAATCATCTATATACAAATACAATCTTGTGAATGTCTATATGTATCTATCTTCATTGTTCTACCACAGGTGAAGATTATAGATCCTTATATAACAGAACCAATGTTTTGAATCTTCAACTAATAAATTGTTAACTAGCTCCAAATCAATATTTCCAACATCAATACAAGATTGTCTCATACATATACATCACTGCAAATGTATCAACTGTTGGATTAGTGTCTAAGTCCATAACTATTTTGGTATGTACTTGACCCGATGGTGCATGGTCCTTTTGGGTTGCCTTCACCAAAGCAACTTGATAGGATGAATTATGGAGAGAAAGGATTAAATATGATTTATTAATATATTATGGGAATAATATATTAAAGGAGAAATCATATTGTTTAATTAATATTAGTCAATAATTAATTGGTAATTAGTTTTGTGACTAAAAGAGATTAATTAAACTTAAGGGACTGGAATTGTAATTATAAGATGATTATGATTTGGGCCATGGATTTCCTTATATTAAGGGATGGACGAATTCTAATGGGAAACTCATAAGGAAATCGTCCATGGGCTTAATTAAAGGAGTCTATGGGTTGCTTAGGGCTTAAGCATTCATATTAGGGTTTCCTTGTTAGATAACCCTAATAGCCCAACTATATAAAGATCCCTTAAGGCTCAAAAACGTGGCTAAGCTTCTTGTAAGGGTTTACACACGTTTTTGGCAGCCTCCAACCTCTCTCCTCTTCATCCTCTTGCTTATGGTGTTTGTGAACCATTAGAGGAGTGACACTTGTGACTCTAAGCCTTCCAAAGTCAATTCAAGGAGAATTGGGATTGTTATTGCTACATAACAATCAAGGTATGATCTTAAACCTAATTACATATTAATATGATTACTTGATGCTAGAATTAGGGTTTATAGTCTTGGATTCAAAGCATGTACAATAGAGAAACCTAGATCCAAGCATTAGGGTTTGTATGAGCACATAGGATGTCTTATGACCAAAACCCATCAGTGGTATCAGAGCCTAGCTTGGTTTCAATTGTATTGATGCATTGTATAACTGAAAATTCGATTTTTTGGATTCTGGAGGCTGGACTCGCCGAGTCCATGGCTGAACTCGCCGAGTCCATGCAGACTCGACGAGTCCATGCCTGACTCGACGAGTCAACTCGTCAGATAATGCTTATCTCGGGATTTCTTGCTGTTTTTGCATATGGATAGTTACCTTATCATGTTAGATCAATATAAATCCGATTTTATGATATATATGACTATATTCTTGATCTAATTAAAGATAATTATCAATTAATAAGATAATTGTTTCCTTATAAGATAATTGATTAATTATTTTGAGTAAATTGATAAATTGTTTTGCAAGAAATCATTAAATAAATCAAATATGGATAATTATGTGATTAAATGTTAATTTAGATTATTTGTTATTTGATCCTTGTTGTTATGAAAAGTTTCATATTTTCCCCTTTAGGTTTTATAGTTTAAATTTGAACCCAAAAGTTTTGAAGTTTTGAAATTTAAATAGTTAAAACCCTAATGTTTTGAAAAAGGTTTCAAAACTTGCCCTCAAGTTTTGGAATTTAAAAGTTGATTAAAAGTTTAATTAGGAATGTTAAATTCTAAAACCCTAGTAATGTTTTGAAAAGTTCAAATCACACCCTTATGGTTTTATTAATTAATTAAGGAGTATAATTAAAAGAGGTTTAATAAATCCATAAAAGTTTAGGTTAACCATTTAATTGAATTAAAAGTGTAATTGTTAAAGTTAACCATATAGTATTTTAAAAGTATAAAATACACCCTATACTATATATAACATTAAAAGTATAACATTATATATATGTATGAGTAAAAGTCAGTCTTACCGTTAGTAGGCCTCATTCACGAAGCTGGTCTATAAGGGGTGTTTAAGGAAATTGCCTATAAAATGGCGATTGAATGGGTATCCACTCTTACCCACCGCACTCTTGACTAGTGGAGGGTCGTTAGCCGAACGGGTAGGATAGGACGAAACCTTCCATTATAAGTATAATGAAATACAAAGTAACTAAATGTTTTTCAAATTCCCAATCTTAGTTACTTAGGCAAAAGTGAATTGATGCAATTCCATGAAATTACACTTTGTGCCCTTGCGAAGACGTTAGTGGAGCGTGTGTGGTTTACCGGCACACTAAATGGTTCTAAGCAAAGGTAGCAAAGGGTGACTCAATGTTTGTCATAGTTCGGTGGAGCGTGTGTGGTTTACCGGCACATCGAATAGGTGATTGTAACATGTGAGGGCACCATGTAGTTTGCATGGTTATTCACACCCGCTTTGTGATCCTCGGCATCCCAGTCACAAACAAGAGGGGCATATCGAGATTTAAACATGCCATTGAAATATTCAATGAATCTCAAAGGATCTAGGAGTTTTCATAGATTTAAAACTTAAATTTTTTTCGTTTTTCATGGTGGAAATTAGTGAATCGTCATTCACTTACCTTCAAATGTTCTTCAATTTGGGTTACGGCATCCCTCTCCCGAGTTGTAGAATATTGTGTTGGGTCCTAGCCTTGGAATTTCATTTGGGTGATTTACCAAGGACTCAATCAATCAACTAACTTGAATTCGTTTTTCTCCCGATGTCAAAGTTCGACAACTATGGTCTTCTCAAATCCCGTGGAACAAGCATTCCACATGAAGATGATATTCCACGATTCGATCGAGGAACAAGAAATCATGCTTCACTTCCTCCTCCTCCTCCAATTATTCTCCCTAACCCACAAGATTGTAAAATTGAAAGGTTCAATATCACTCAAGCCCTTTTGGCAAGTAAACATAAAGAGGGCAAGTCGGTGTGTGCACACGTCTTAGGGATGAAGTCACACATTGATAGGTTAAGAATGATGGATCCGTTGTCGGTGAAGAGATGGCTGTTGATTGGGTTCTTCAATCACTTCCTAACTCATATAGTGAGTTCGTAA